TTCAAGACATGGATAATAATAACAGATCCTATTGCCATTCAGGTGAATCTTGTTAACATGGTTCAGGTTAAGTTGATAAGTTAAACAGTGGGAGTGATGTCCTGTCACTATATCCGTGATGACAATATATTTAATGATGACAATTTTTTAGTTGTGGCACTACCCATTCGCCTTTGTGAAAAGCATTACACATGCAAAATGTTAATTTATTCACTATTTGTTTGATATGTAATTCCCAGGGGTAGAAAGTAACATTTTTAGTCCACTAGTCCTTACAATGATAACATATATACATCCACGACTAGGGACAATGTCTAATGCTGATTATGCTGATCATTGACTTCTTGGTCAAGAATCTTGGCTTCACTAAATCATATTGGTATTAGATTGACCAACGTTATGTCACTAGAAAACTCTCACACACAACAGTTCAAGTTGTGCAGTGACTACAAAGTCACACCAGCAGACATCCTACATCGAAATATTGACTCATCAAAGTTCAAGACAATGAGGGTGTCACATGGGCTTGGTTCTGATAAGTTGCAGAATAGGGGTGCGCAAATGTAACCAGTATATTGGTATATTGCATTCAGCCGTCCACAATACCCTTGTGTATCAATATTTTCCCATATGGTCACAGACGAATGTAATATATAATCATATAATTTATATCTACTATCTTGAGGTACTTGGATGGACTGGGTTAGCACTGTTAACTATCAACATTCCATATTGATGACGTACTAGGTCGTCTCGCGTATCCATACTGTCTGAAATCTGGATTAGTGAGGGCATAATGTGAGTTGTCATTTCTTTGAAATAATCACAAGGATGAAACCATGTCATCAGTCATAAAGTGCTGCACTTTTTATTTCACAATTTGAACACTACAAATATACATTGTAAAGATTGTTTTTGGCCCTAAGACGTACTGCAATACAGCTCTCCATATTGCAATACGATATATTAAGGGTGTGCGGTATTATCGGTATATCGGTAAATTGAGGTTCATTTTTTCCCCCAATACGTATCACAATATCATTTTTTCATGCTCTCTCTCTCTCTCTCGCTCTCTCTCTATATATATATATATCGTGTGATTTCAAATAGTGATTTTTATGTGAAATATTGTGATACACTTTAAACCTCCAATACCCATCCCTACAATATATGTGCCAATACGCCAACCCAAGTGCAGAAGTAGCTGTAAGTTGTCAATTCATAGGTCCACCAATGAAACAACAACCAACATGACTGGGTTTTGTAAAGCATCATTGATTAAACCTTCACCAACAATACCTTACCTTGGAGGTCACTGAGTTACCATGACCATTCCTCCAAACAGGCTCCCTTGTGATTGATAGGTTAATGATGTACCAGACATTATTATCAGTGAAGAACAATGTCAATCCAAAAAGGTTGACATGATGTTTTGACAGCCTATATGCATCCAGGATACAGGTTACTGAAAATACTCTCAACTACAGTTCCAAGTAATCAACTCATTTCCTCTGCAGCATAAAAATAGCAAATTGGTAGCTGTTCATCTCTGTCAGATCAAGAAGCATTTCCCTCCAGAAACAAGGAAGTAACTTACTTAACTTGTATACCTAATTTGAAAATATCAGCTTATTTATGTGAATTGGTGATTATCAAAATCCAGTAGGTGGTGACAGGGACAAGGTAGCAAACCTGTAGCTTGTTGTTTGTTGTTTAATGCCGCACTCAGCAATATTCCAGCTATATGACGGCGGTCTGTAAATAATTGAATCTGGACTAGACAATCCAGTGATTGACATCATGAGCATCGATCCATGCAATTGGGATCGATGACATGCATCAACTAAGTCAGCGAGCCTGACCACCCTATCCTGTTAGTCGCCTCTTACGAAAAGCATAGTCGCCTTTTACAGCAAGCATGGGTTGCTGAAGACCAATTCTACCCCGGATTCCTTATGATGGAAATGAGCATCTGGCATGGTGATAAAAAAAGTAATGTCTCATATAAAGTTGTATTGTCAGTCTACATTTGTGAAACATTTAGTCAGCACACCTATAACCCAATAAATCAAAACAGCACCACACAAGCTTACTAATTAATGACAAGATATACTCAGTATCTGAAATTTGATACAATGCATGTATCCGTTTGTTCAACTGTCTACATGGTCTAGATAGCTCCTGCTTCTGACACATCAAATTATTATGCATAGAAGACAGTCATGTATTGCTGTTCAATTTGCTCGAATAAACTCAATTGTACTCTCCCTCTCCTCAAAACTTCCCATTTTGTAAGAAGCCTGCACATAGCAGCGTAAATGATGCTATGGCACCAAGCCACAACATACTCAAGTCTGGTTGGTAAATTTCACGCTTGTTTTGTCAATTTGTGAACCCAGCCAAGTTATCTTCATCCATGCCATGTTGTCGTTAGAGAGTGATTTAATGGTGCAGATAATTATATACCTTACACCAGATCTCACAACCATGTACTTCTTTAGTTCATTTTGTTATAGTGCTGAGGAACTGATACAAGAGCTGAAATAGTAAATGGCTTCAGTATACTGATACAGTGAGGGAGACTTCACCAACACGTCCCTCCTTCACAAGTACATCGATCGGTGTGATTCCTCTCTATGCCACTGCATCACATTGCAGCACTGGTTCAATGCAGAAATAATAATTAAGTACATGTATTGAGCAGTGAGTGAGTGAGTGAGTGAGTTGCGTTTAACGCGGCTTTTAACAGTATTCCAGTTATATCGCGGCGTGTTAGCTCAATGTGGGAGGAAAGCCTGAAGTGATGCAGGTTTCAGATGTTTACCATGTTTACCACTTCGTTGAAACCCATGAGCACAGGTATGGTGCTGACAAACCTAGAAACATAATTGGGGCGAACCGGGATTCGAACTGACAATCATAGGTTTCTGGCGTGCCCAAGGGACGCAACTCTGAACAGCGAATCGCGGCGCATTAGACAATTGGGCCACCTGTGCCCCCTGTATTGAGCAGTATGCACTCTTACACAGAGGCATTTGGGTCAGAATAGGGCAACAGAATGCACTGCTTGTCCAGTGGGGGGGATTCTGGGCAGAAAATAAGTTACCAATACCCAATGGTTTTCAGGTCAGACTAGGTCCAAAAACTTAATACTTCTCTCACCAAAAGGATTCAAGACAGAAAAGGTCTCCAGTACCCCATGCTAGTGCAAGGCAAGAGCGGATCCAGCATTTTTAAAAGGGAGAGGTCCAAAATATCAAAATCCTATATCTAGATAATTTGCCTACAACATACTAAATCTACATTTCGTTTTCAAAAGGGGGGGGGGGGGGGGGGGGGTCCAGCTTAGGAGAGGAATATGTCCCAAGTACCAGATGGACAGAATATGTCCCAAGTACCAGATGGACAGAATATGTCCCCAAGATCAATTACCAGAATCTGACTCAACACTTAATGGGCAGACTAGGTCCCAAGACACCCTAAAAACATAACAGGTCTTCCAAGTTTACAAAATGCATTGATTTTGGACGTGTTCTTCACTTCCAGGATATATGTAATATGTAATATTCTAAGCAGTGGGAATTCATCATATCCCACACCCGGGTACAAATACCAGTGTTGTGTCATCCAACACAGTGAGGGCTTGAAATGGGGCTCACTGCCTGTGTCCTCACCCTGTTGGTCCTGCCCTGGAGGTGGTGGCATGTGCTTACTGATGGGGTCACATGTAAATGTTTCATTAATTTATATCCTGGGTATAACAACTCCCTGTACTTAAGGATTCAAATTGAATCCATTCAGACATTCAGCATAATACCCAACAACTTTTCGTCAGTGGGAGAATGATGATGTGAAAGGGATGATATTGATGAAACAGTTCCTACCTGGAGGAATAAATAAGGTTTGGAACACAAATACAAAATTCATATGGTGGCAGATGCTGGAATAGTATCACATGTTTGGTGTTGCATGTATTTGTCTTGGTGGTGTTTTGTTGGTGTGTTCTGGTAGGAGTCAGGTGTTTTGTTGGTGTGTTCTGGTAGGAGTCGGGTGTATTGTTGGTGAGTTCTGATAGGAGTCAGGTGTATTGTTGGTGTGTTCTGGTAGGAGTCAGGTGTATTGTTGGTGAGTTCTGGTAGGAGTCAGGTGTATTGTTGGTGTGTTCTGGTAGGAGTCAGGTGTATTGTTGGTGAGTTCTGGTAGGAGTCAGGTGTATTGTTGGTGAGTTCTGATAGGAGTCAGGTGTATTGTTGGTGAGTTCTGATAGGAGTCAGGTGTATTGTTGGTGAGTTCTGATAGGAGTCAGGTGTATTGTTGGTGAGTTCTGATAGGAGTCAGGTGTATTGTTGGTGAGTTCTGATAGGAGTCAGGTGTATTGTTGGTGAGTTCTGATAGGAGTCAGGTGTATTGTTGGTGTGTTCTGATAGGAGTCAGGTGTATTGTTGGTGTGTTCTGATAGGAGTCAGGTGTATTGTTGGTGAGTTCTGATATGAATCAGGTGTATTGTTGGTGAGTTCTGGTTGGAGTCAGGTGTATTGTTGGTGAGTTCTGGTAGGAGTCAGGTGTATTGTTGGTGAGTTCTGGTAGGAATCAGGTGTATTGCTGGTGTGTTCTGGTAGGAGTCAGGTGTATTGTTGGTGTGTTCTGATATGAATCAGGTGTATTGTTGGTGAGTTCTGGTTGGAGTCAGGTGTATTGTTGGTGTGTTCTGATAGGAGTCAGGTGTATTGTTGGTGTGTTCTGGTAGGAGTCAGTTGTATTGTTGGTGTGTTCTGGTAGGAGTCAGGTGTTTTGTTGGTGTGTTCTGGTAGGAATCTGGTGTATTTGTGCTTTGTTAATTGCCTATACCAATATGCCTTACCAAACAACCAATCCATCGTCCATTCCTGACATGGGGTCAAGGCATGACTTAACTGTAATAAGACCACCCCAAACAACCAAACCATGCAGACCTGGCCAAGGGATGAGTAACGGCTTAACTCCTGTACAAGGCTACCCACCTTCCTGCAAGCTCCTTGTCCAGATACTTTGCTGCTAACCTAGCTCCATACACCTCACTCTGTAGGGCAAGAATATACTGGCGTAGCTCAGAGTTTTCTTTTCTTAACTCCTTCAATTCAACCTCAAGACGAGCCATTCCCATCAAGTCTGCTGTTCGGGACTCCAGTTCATTTTCCTGTAAAACACAAAAATAAATGTTCAACAGTGAAATAGTTAACTTGCAGAAAGATGGATGGTATTGACCTATCTATGAGGACCTCCAGTACCTAAAATGTGACTAAATAGGCATCTGGGCTGTGTTATACAAAACAATCTTAGCGCTAAGACAATCTTAACTCCCATACTTTAACCAAGACTTACGACAATCACAGAATTGTGGAATGGGCATCAGGTGGCCACAATGGCTGCTGAATATGGAGAACAGAGGGCAACAAGTGACCAGTATCCCTTCAGCTGTGACCTGGCTAATTCAATGTGTAATCAACCCTCACTATAATGATGATAGATCATAATATTCTTGCCTGGTTCAGAACTCTTGTGAAAATTTTTTAATTTTCCGTAGTTCACCAGGCATGTCATCTGTGCTGACACAACAAATTATAAAGCCAAACAGAGTGAAGAGACATTCAAGCTCTAGGCTGTTTACCTTCCATTAACTCTCATTTGCTACAAAATGGTGATCAGCTTTTGAAGAGCATCTGAGGAGAGGCATATTTGATATCCAGTCTGTGTTCCCCAACATGCTGGAAAGTACACATGGCGTTCATCATGTCCATTAGGTTCCAGCCTCCTGGGTCTATTTATTTCTGAGACCACTTTCATTTATGACTTTTTTCAGATTTATAAAGCCATAATTGTTACTAGATTTGAAAATCATGAGAAATCAGAACTTCAAATAACAAATTTACCCATCAAATTTCAACCCAATCAATAATTTCTGGAGTATAACAAATAGAGTGTGTCATCTCAACTGGTAACCACTGATGGCAGTGATATAAGAATATAGATTCAGTAGACCTCTGACCAAATAGCTTCACAATCACCTCTCTCCACACAGACTTTCATCTTTAGTGAATGTACATGTGAGCCCTTAGTAACCGGGATCACTGACAAACTTTCAGTACACTCTCAGTTGTGGGGCTTCACAGAGATGAGTTTTAACTGACAACTCCAGTTCACTCCACACAATCATGCAGTATTGGAGACGCAGTCTGTTCCAGGCAGAGCACCTGTCACTTCTTCACAACCATGGAGTATCGGAGACGCAGTCTGTCCCAGACAGAGCTCCTGTCACCTCTACACAACCATGGAGTATTGGTGCGTCTGTCCCAGGCAGAGCACCTGTCACCTCTACATAGAACTCCTGTCACTGTCCTGTCCTGTCCTGGACAATACTTTACACAACCATGGAGTATCGGAGACACAGTCTATCCCAGGCAGAGCACCTGTCACCTCTACACAACCATGCAGTATTGGAGACGCAGTCTGTCCCAGGCAGAGCTTCTGTCACCTCTACACAACCATAGAGTGTTAGAGATACAGTCTGTCCCAGGCAGAGCACCTGTCACCTCTACACAACCATAGAGTGTTAGAGATACAGTCTGTCCCAGGCAGAGCACCTGTCACCTCTACACAACCATGCAGTATTGGAGATGCAGTCTATCCCAAGCAGAACTCATGTCACCTCTTCACAACCAAATATTGTGACCATATTTCCTCATTTCATTTCAGTTGGTTCTGACAACAAGCACAGAGTGATTGGGACCCAATCTGGGCTACAATCGGAAGAAATATTTGAAGGATGGCTGACATGATCACCTTGACCAGGATGAGAATTACCAGGGCGAAGTACAGTAAAAGGGTGTGGTGGGGGGTCCTGGAGGTTTGTTCCATATTATTTGAATCCAGAGACCCCCCTCACATACATCTTCAACATTAGGGCAATGACAACGACCCTTTGACTTTCATGCTTAGCATTTAACACTACAGTATTCTTCACAAGATAATCCTTTAGTTGGTTTATTGGTTTTTGTTAAACGCCGCACTCAGCAATATTCCAGCTATATGACGGCGGTCTGTAAATAATTGAGTCTGGACCAGATAATCAATTGATTAATATCATGAACATCGATCCACGCAATTGGGACCAATGACATGCATCAACCAAGTCAGCGAGCCTGACCACCCGATCCCGTTAGTCGCCTTTTATGACAAGCATAGTCACCTTTTACTGTAAGCATGGGTTGCTGAAGACCAATTCTACCCCGGATCTTCACGGGTCGATAATCCTTAGTTATGAAAACAACACAGAGCAGTGATTTTCAAGATTGATAATCCTTTAAAGAAACATCAGTCTTGAAAATCATCTCTGTGTTGTTTTCATAACTAAGTTCTCAAATCATTACATAAGCTACAGCTTCAGGCAGACCACTTGATGTTAGTTTCTTGATCCCTATCCTGTTTTGTTTATGATTTTCTTTCCCTCGGTAACACAACACTGCAGAGGCACAGTGACAGAAGAATGTAGTATGTGCAGCCCGCCCAGGCTAGAAAGTAGTCCTCCATACCAAGGTGGGGGATATTTCTATTTTAAATGTTCTTGAAAACTTCACTTCTTTATGTTTTAAACCAGCATTCATCATGTCATGTGCCAAATACCCTGCACCAGTGCCAACATGGTATTTGTGGCAGTCGTTTTTAAAAAGAATTCAATCTCCACAAATTTAACCTTTGTTTATGTAGCATGTATCCAATTAAACAAAGACTCTAGCCTACACATTAACACTACCAAATGTAGAACAGTTTTCGGAACACCTAAATCAAACCAGACATGTCTGCGTTAAACTTGGTTTCAAACAAATGGAATTACACTCATGTTTACTACTGGGGTAAGTTGCTGTAAGAAAACTGTTGTAAAGAACTTAAAGAGTATCAAAAGGTAGCTGTATCAGGTAAGATTCAGCTGAGACAATGTTAGATAGATTTTAAATTACATACTAAATGTTTTTCCAATGAAGACAGTAAAATGAACTATGAATTTAAACAAAATGAATGCTGACAATATCAGTAGGTTATAAATGAAACATATTTGCAAGTTATTAAAAAAAAACAGAAGCAGGTCCTTTACCGCCATTTCTCAGGTGAGTGAGTGAGTGAGTGAGTGAGTGAGTGAGTGAGTGAGTGAGTGAGTGAGTGAGTGAGCAGCAATCTAGCAGTCTTACGTGGAAATTGGTGAAATGCATGCCTCCACAACCTCAGATACCATTGTTTCTGGTTGTGGAAATACATGCCGAATACAGTACAATTTTAAACCAAAAAGTCTTATTCCTCTAGTTACCTTAATAAGAAAGTTATACTGAAATCAAGTCATGTGTAGTTGATGGACAAGGCTGAAGAGAAAGTCCCATGTCTCCAACTACATTAATAGGAAACTGGTATGCACTTCTGTTTTATTTACATAACTTCTGACCTAATGCAAGACAATTTTAAAGACAAAATTTCATGTCTCTAGCTACATTAATAACATCAACTTTAGATTTGGGAAAGACATATGTCTGATGAAGTACAGCTTTAAAACTTAAGTATTATGCCTCTAATTACCTTAATAAGAAAAAGTATATGTGCTTCCATTTTTCAACTTGATTATTCCAAGTTGAAAACATGGGTACTTATTCTTTCAAACATGTCATACTAACACAGGGGATTGGTTCAGTACAACAAAGAAGCAGAACTACGTTATAAAGGCTCATTAGTGACCTTGACCTGAAATAAAGGTCACTCAAAACCTTACTAATCATCTCCATCTCAAAACTCCATCCTATAATAGCAAACATTCAAGTTCTCATGAACATATTTTGAGTGTATGTCCTTCAGAGGGAATTTGACCTTCAATACTAGTTGCAGGAATTTCAAGGACATTCCCATATGGCAACTAAACCAAATATAATGTCCCTTGGCTGAATTAAATATATCAACTACTGCCTATGCTACTCATTGAAATTAGGTCAAAATTGTGTGAACACAGACATGTTTTAGGACAGCAGGTGTTGTGCGTGCAAGGAAATAACCCATTTCCATCGAACAGGGACTGTGGTGGACTGTGATGCATAGCATGTGGAATTCATGCTCTACATGTATTACAAACATAAGATTGTCATCGCTTGTCTCACTCAAGTAATCAAATAGTATCACCACTACATGCATATACATGTATATTTAAAACTCTAAAGGGAAAACATACTTACATTCGATTTACATTCACTGTGACCTTGAACTTACACGTAGGTCACTCTCGACCTTTTCAAATCGTGGCCCAAGCACAAAGATGACATGTACCAACTTTTATTGACAGTAAATGCATCTAAAGCTATCGCTTAAACAAACTTTTCTTCGATTATAACCTTGAAGATGACCTTGACCCTTGACATGATGGACCAATGTGTCACAAAAATGTGCCAAGGCTACAAATGAGACGATATCGCTGAGGTGTCAAAGCACTATATTCTGCACCTTAAACTATGGGTGTCAAAGTGTTTTGAGAATCTATATTCCCTTGCTTTATGCCACCGCCCATCAGAATATTAATGACTGCTCCCAACTAACCAGCTTGCGCTTTATGTCTTCTGAATCCACCTCCATGCCTCTGAGTGCTTGCATCTGGAGCTGTGAGGAGTGTAGCTGCAGCAGCAGTGTGTGGAGCTCCTTCTCAATCACAGCCTTGGCTGCTTGTATTTCAACAATGTCTGACCGCATGTCCACGAGTTGAGCCTGAAAACAAAAACATCTCAATGAGTACTTCAATGGATATGAATGACAGTTGACAGTCTTCCAAGTCCAGTTGTTGTTTGTTGGGGTTAGGAAGTCTCTTTTCACAACTCAAAATATAACAGAAAGACATCCCCACTAAAAATACTACACGATCACACCACAAGAAAAATATTGATCTGTTCGAACTGATAACAAGTGTAAAAAAAATGGGTGGGTGAGTGGGTGGTTGAATTGGTGGGTAGGTTGGTGAGTAGTTGGGTAAGTGGGTGAGCGAGAGTGATTACAATGATCAGAATAATGGGCGGCTGGGTGGGTGTTTGGATGAGTCAGCAAGTGAGTAAATTAGTGAGTGAGTGAGTGAGTGAGTGAGTGAGTGAGTGAGTGAGTGAGTGAGTGAGTGAGAGTGTTCCAAATAATGGGTAGGTGGCTGTTTGAATGAGTGAGAGTGAGGGCATGCATGAGTGAGCGAGTGAGTGAGAGGCAATATTGAACTTTAATTCACCATACAAAGTACAATCTAGGCAGGACAAAATGAAGTACCAAATTTGCCAATGTGGTCCTGCTTATGCACCTTTTACACTACACATTGGGTACAGCATTATAATGCCTGCCATAGACATGTTTATTTGCAATAGTACAAGACTTGCCTGATCAACATGATCAATTTGAGTTATCATCCCAACACCTGTGCTTAACCCATGCTATTGAACAACATTGTGTCTGTCATGCTGCTTTAACCATTGGAAAATAAACAACATCTTTATGACAGTGTTACTGTTTAACAGTCAATACTTGTACTTTATCACTCTGTAACTGGACCTGGTTTATGTAGGTGCCGATAACATCTGCAGTGATTTGCAATCAGAGGCTCAATGCAATCTCGGCAAGACACTGGATCAGGAACTAGCACGACCAATAAAGGTGTAACTGCAGTGCTCTGTTCATCGTTCATAGTTTTTCCTAGATGTCACTACAGGCGGATACGGATCGTCCCGTCTTCCAAAGTGTGGTGTAGGATTTACAATGCACTTCTTGTCCTGTGTTAGGCTACAAATCATAAAATATGTCTAAATTCTACATAACAATATCTTCCCTATCACTACATAGTCCTGTGCAGTCACATGTAGAAAAACTGAGACTGAACAGGTTACATGATCAACAGCTGAGGGGTAGCTAAAGGTATAACTGACAGACCAACAGTCTCACATGAACACGTTAATATGTTCCTCCTGACAGACCAACAGTCTCACATGAACATGTCAATATGTTCCTCCTGACAGACCAACTGACTACATGAACATGTCAATATGTTCCTCCTGACAGACCAACAGTCTCACATGAACATGCCAATATGTTCCTCCTGACAGACCAACTGACTACATGAACATGTCAATATATTTCTCCTGACAGACCAACTGACTACATGAACATGTCAATATGTTCCTCCTGATAGACCAACTGACTACATGAACATGTCAATATGTTCCTCCAGACAGACCAACTGACTACATGAACATGTCAATATATTTCTCCTGACAGACCAACTGACTACATGAACATGTCAATATGTTCCTCCTGATAGACCAACTGACTACATGAACATGTCAATATGTTCCTCCTGATAGACCAACTGACTACATGAACATGTCAATATGTTCCTCCTGACAGACCAACTGACTACATGAACATGTCAATATGTTCCTCCTGACAGACCAACTGACTACATGAACATGTCAATATGTTCCTCCTGACAGACCAATTGACTACATGAACATGTCAATATGTTCCTCCTGACAGACCAACAGTCTCACATGAACATGTCAATATGTTCCTCTTGACAGACCAACAGTCTCACATGAACATGTCAATATGTTCCTCCTGACAGACCAACTGACTACATGAACATGTCAATATGTTCCTCCTGACAGACCAACAGTCTCACATGAACATGTCAATATGTTCCTCCTGACAGACCAACAGTCTCACATGAACATGTCAATATGTTCCTCCAGACAGACCAACTGACTACATGAACATGTCAATATGTTCCTCCTGACAGACCAACAGTCTCACTTGAACATGTCAACATGTTCCTCCTGACAGACCAACTGACAACATGAACATGTCAATATATTTCTCCTGACAGTTTCACCAAAGCGGTAAAAGCGGTCTCAGACCTGCATCACTTCGGGTTTCCCAACCACAATAGCCTGACATGTCCTGTTAGAACTGGAATACTGTTCAAAGCAGTGTTAAACCCAACTCACTCACTCCTCCTGACAGACCCACTGACTGACTACATGGACATGTCAACATGTTCCTCCAGACAGACCTAAAGCATGACTATTTCAGCCTCTCCATTGGGCTACCGAGCAGCACAGTCTTTAAATGCACGAAGTTTGTCTTTCCACTGAGCGTCTTTAGGCACCTCAATTCTAGCATGTCTGAAGACCTGTAATCCTGATTCAATTCCACAAGCTTTAATTTCAATACTTTCAAAAGTTCCTTTAAAGCATCATCATATAGGGTACAAAAACTGTTTCCAAAAGATTTGCACCTCTTTTTTAAAATCAAATGTTTCAGATAAAACACACTTCTTTAATGCAGCATAAGTGTGGAAAAAAATCAATGAATCCAAAAGAAAGCGATGGAAAAGTACAGTGGCACATGCACAACTCTCAACTCTTAGATTGGAAGTAAGTGGCTGGAATGAAAACATTGACTGCTCGGGGAGTTTTGACACAGACAGTAAGCTAAGCATGCATGATGTATTCATGTCAAGCACACTGAGAAAACTGCAACTGTGGCTCAAGGAACTGTTCAGTTAGCTCGAGTTGGGCCAAACTTTTTCCAGAGCAGGGAATGTTGAACACTTGTACACGTTGTAGAGCCTATCAGTGAAGGGAGCCGTTTCACACTTGACTTTGTCCAAGCCAATCAATGAGGACGATGAGAAGAAGATTATAACCTTCACAGTTCACCAACTGAAATAATAGAGCATACATTTGCTGGTAAACACTTGTGGCAATATTCCCACCAGCGTAACAGCCCTTGAAGTGGATGTTATCAGTGATATTTCTAAGCTTGGAAAACATAACTATCTAGACTAAGGTTTGGACTAGTTAGGTGAGGTGATATGGCAGGGATATGTGCCACCAGTTATACCAAAACGTACACAACTAGTTTTGGACTAGTGTTTTTTGTCATAGCATAAGTAAATTGTGGGGAAAAGGAGTGAGTGCATGAGTGAACGCATGTGTGAGTGTTTGTTTGTTTGTTTTTTGTCTAAAGCCTCACTCAGCAATATTCCAGCTATTTGACGTCAATCTGTAAATAATCACGTCTGGTCCAGACAATCCAGTGATTGGCATCATGATCATTGATGAGTATCAATCCATGCATTTGGGATACGATGACATGCATTAACGAGTCCAGCGAATGAGTGAGTGAGTGAGTGAGTGAGTGAGTGAGTGAGTGAGTGAGTGAGTGAGTGAGTGAGTGAGTGCTATATCATGGCATGTCAGCTTGATGTGGGAGGAAAGCCTGAGTGATGTAAACCACTTTGCAAGAGCACGAGCACAAGTATGGTGCTGACACATCGAGCACAATCAGGGTAAATCTGAGATTTAAAGCCTAAAAACCCATCAACTTAACACAGTGAATTGCGGCACCTTAGATGACTGGGTCACCGACATCCCCAGCGGACATCTTAGATTGATGCCATTATTTTATTTTTCAAGGACAAATCAAGAACATCTAAATATTCTTTGGATCACAGCATACAAATGTAAATACTACTTTGGAATATTGTATAACTACTGACAAAGGATCCATTGGAAGAGTTCAAGTTTTGAATGAACAAATGTCAAGTATGTTTTGGGTGCAACAGCACATGTACCCTCCAGGTGACGAGAGAAACAGCACCGATGGTCGGACTGTTCATGTTGTGAAACCAGGGTCCCTCAAGTTAAATCAAACATGTGTACAAGTTCAAGTATCAACACTCACTGATGTTTGTTAAGATTGAAGAACATATGAATAGGAATAATGGAGATACAACATGTTGCTGTTGACACTGCTTCAAGACAGGACACGGAGCTTGAGCACCACACATGGGAAACTGGAGCATGGAGAACTTATGTTTCAAGTTGACCAGAGTACATGTGGCAGGAGGTGAGGTGAAATGGGGTTTAACGTCGCGTCCAAGATTATTGCACTTATATAGTGACATGCATGCACGTGTATGTGTGTGTGTGGCTGCTTGTACTAGTCCATTTGTGAGGCCCATTTCTGGTGTGCCCCGCCGTGATATTGCTGGAATATTGCTAAACGGGTGTGAAACCGAACTCACTCACTCACTCTTTCAGTACAGCCTTGGAGCAAGGCTACGTTAGTATAGATGCCGCAATCTTTTCTATGCCGAATTGTGCTCCTTTGCCTTGCAAGAACCCTATGATCGTGGTTCGAGTTTAATGTTTTGCCTTGATTATAATTCCTCGTTTGTCAGCACCCGACCAGTGCTCGTTGGTTTCGCCAAAATGGTAAACGTCTAAGACCTGTATCCCTTTCCCCTCACACCGAACAGAGGTGAGGTGAGGTGAAATTGGGTTCAACGTCGCGTCAAAGATTATGCCACTTATATAGCGACGTGCATGCACGTGTTTGTGTGGCTTCTTGAACTAGTTCGGACTTATATGCTAGTTCGGACTGATGCCGATTTACAGTGCTAGCACAGAGATATCATGCCGCAGTTTAACATGAATACCCCACTCAGACACAGTATACTGACTCCAAGCCGACCAGTCCTTGTTTTAGCCCCTTAATGCCCAGCGCCAGACAGGGTAACAACAAGTACCATCTTTTAACGTCTTTTGGTATGACGCGGCTGGGGATCGAACCCCGAAGCTTCCGCTCTCCGCTGTACCACTAGACCACGACAGGTGGCAGGATTGAGGGTTAGCAAGTCTGTCAGTTTAATGTTCAGGAAACAACATGGACAC